CATGCTAGAGACATGTAAGTCTCTTCCTCTGAGCTGCATGCACACACCTGCCTAACTGAATGCTCCTTAAGCACCCAAAGGTCAGTATGTTAAAAACTGAATTCACGATGATACCCCCATCCACTCTTCATCAGTTTAGTGATGGGACAGGAACTGCCGTGTGCGCAGAAAGCGCGCGCGCTCTCTTTTTTTTTTTTTTTTTTAAGAATTATTTACTTCATTTTATTCATTCATTTATTTTTAATGTGACCAGAGAGAAGTGAGAAGGCAAGCCACCAGGTCTAGGACTCAAAAAGTTGCCAGCCATGTGGAAGTGTCCAGCGCCCTTAACCACCGTGCCACCTGCTGTGCTGGTCCCGATAGGAAATGTTTCTTTTTTCTTTTTTGGAAAGGTTTTTGCTATAGGGTGTATGCACTCCCCCAAAAAAGAGGCAAAGAGCGAGAAATCTCCCACCCAGGGGGAGGTGGCCACACCACAATCCCTTCTCGTCTCTTCTTGGGATGTTGGGCATGCACGTACACATGCCCAGCATGAGTTTAAGCCACTGGTTCTGGGACTCAAACCACAGTCAACTACATGGGAGTCCAGCAACAAAGCCATTAAGCCAACTGCTGGTCCCTTGATAGGAAATATTTTTAACTCCTATTTTTTACTTAATGTCCTTTCTCCTCTTGATTTGTCACTGAGACCGTTTGATTATTATCTCTAAACAAAAGTCACCCACTTTCCATTTCTTTGCTCAGACTATTGGAGAAGCACCCAAGCTAGTCAGTCTCAGAACTGACTTGGGCTTCTAGGGCTTCCTGCTTCTGTGTGTCTGTGTGTCCGTGTCCGTGTCCGTGTCTGTGTCTGTGTCTGTCTGGATTATCAGTGCTGTGGGGGAGATGGTGATTTTTTTTTTTTTTAGAGAGGTTTTTGCTTTAGGGTGTATGTGCTCGCCAGAGAGACAGAAAGTGAGAAACCACCCTTTGGGGGGATGGCCACACTGCAGTTCCTTATCCTCCTGGGATCTTGGGCGCACACGCGCCCAGCATGAGTTTAAGCCACCGGGTCCAGGACTTGAATGGCAGTCGACTACATGGGAGTTCAGCAACATAGCCATTACACTAACTGCTGGTCCCAAGACAGTGATTTCTTTAGGACAGTATCTAGCACACTGTACTTGTTTCAGTAGCTGGGTTTAAGGATTTTTCTTTTTTAAGTGGTTTTTGCTCTAGGGCGCGTGCGCTTGCCAGAAAGAGTGACAGACAGAAAGCGAGAAATCATCCCCGGGGGTGGGTGGCACACCACAGTCTCTTCTTCATTCTCCTCTCGGGATCTTGGGCACACACACCCAGTGTGAGTTTAAGCCGCCAGGATAGACGAGTACACCCCCATCCCCTCTTCATCAGTTTAGTGAGGGGTCAGGAACTGCCGTGTGCGCAGAAAGCGCGCGCGCTCTCTTTTTTTTTTTTTTTTTTTAAGAATTATTTACTTCATTTTATTCATTCATTTATTTTTAATGTGACCAGAGAGAAGTGAGAAGGCAAGCCACCAGGTCTAGGACTCAAAAAGTTGCCAGCCATGTGGAAGTGTCCAGCGCCCTTAACCACCGTGCCACCTGCTGTGCTGGTCCCGATAGGAAATGTTTCTTTTTTCTTTTTTGGAAAGGTTTTTGCTATAGGGTGTATGCACTCCCCCAAAAAAGAGGCAAAGAGCGAGAAATCTCCCACCCAGGGGGAGGTGGCCACACCACAATCCCTTCTCGTCTCTTCTTGGGATGTTGGGCATGCACGTACACATGCCCAGCATGAGTTTAAGCCACTGGTTCTGGGACTCAAACCACAGTCAACTACATGGGAGTCCAGCAACAAAGCCATTAAGCCAACTGCTGGTCCCTTGATAGGAAATATTTTTAACTCCTATTTTTTACTTAATGTCCTTTCTCCTCTTGATTTGTCACTGAGACCGTTTGATTATTATCTCTAAACAAAAGTCACCCACTTTCCATTTCTTTGCTCAGACTATTGGAGAAGCACCCAAGCTAGTCAGTCTCAGAACTGACTTGGGCTTCTAGGGCTTCCTGCTTCTGTGTGTCTGTGTGTCCGTGTCCGTGTCCGTGTCTGTGTCTGTGTCTGTCTGGATTATCAGTGCTGTGGGGGAGATGGTGATTTTTTTTTTTTTTTAGAGAGGTTTTTGCTTTAGGGTGTATGTGCTCGCCAGAGAGACAGAAAGTGAGAAACCACCCTTTGGGGGGATGGCCACACTGCAGTTCCTTATCCTCCTGGGATCTTGGGCGCACACGCGCCCAGCATGAGTTTAAGCCACCGGGTCCAGGACTTGAATGGCAGTCGACTACATGGGAGTTCAGCAACATAGCCATTACACTAACTGCTGGTCCCAAGACAGTGATTTCTTTAGGACAGTATCTAGCACACTGTACTTGTTTCAGTAGCTGGGTTTAAGGATTTTTCTTTTTTAAGTGGTTTTTGCTCTAGGGCGCGTGCGCTTGCCAGAAAGAGTGACAGACAGAAAGCGAGAAATCATCCCCGGGGGTGGGTGGCACACCACAGTCTCTTCTTCATTCTCCTCTCGGGATCTTGGGCACACACACCCAGTGTGAGTTTAAGCCGCCAGGTCCGGGACTTGAACCACGATTGACCATATGACAGTCCAGATACCCATTACGCCAACTGCTGGTCCCATAGGATGATTTTTATCTTACTTACAAAATTCTTTGAATAATCTCATGTATCCACATACCTTCATCTACCATTTTCCCCCATAGTTTGCTCTTAATTTCTGTGCTATGTCTGACTGCCTTTTGGCAGCTTTCCCTTCAACCTCCCTCAACCTGAACTCCGACTTCCCATCTGAGCCCAGCCTGTTGGCACTTATTTTACTCCAGGAGCCAGTGGCTGCACCTCCCAGTTACCCACGCCATAAACTTACACTTCTCTGTTTAGGCCATCTGTTCTCAGCAGCCATACTCCTGTATTTCTAGCTCCTGTTGCCTTGCTTTCAGTCATCCGTCTTTCCAGTGTACTTTCTACGATGATATCAGGAGATCTTTTTGAAAGCACAGGATTGGTCATACTGATCTCTTAAACTACCAAGCTTTGGGGCAACCAGGTTGTATGGTGGTTAGGGCAGCTGGATCCTTCGTGGCCAACTGTGCAATTGGGTTCCAGACCTGGCAGCTTGAAAAACACACCAGGCACATGTGCACATCTGTCCAAAATCTCAAGAGGGGATTGGAAAAGGGATTGCAGTGTGGCCAGGGATGCTTTCTCACTGCTTCCCTCCTCCTAAGCTGCATTATGTGTTTGTGCCTATAATCTCTGCATACGGCCTTAGTGATAGTTGCCCACGAGAGAGATTGTTCAAACCTTTGCCATCTAGATCCTTGAGGACAGCCCTGGTTTTTCTTTCTAACAGTTCTTGATTAGGAGCTCAAATTGGAATTGGGGAGTGTTGAGTGGTCATTTTTAATTTCTTTACATTTTCTATAAATGGAAACTAATTTAAATTCCTGGCCATAGGTGGGGAAAAAATTAATCTACACTTTTATGAAAAATACCCAATGGAAGTTAGAACTATATTACAGAGGGTGACTTTGGGTTACTTAAATATTTTTTCTGTAGAGAATCTGATATCACCAAGGAAAGAATTCAGAAGATTCTGGCAACTGGTGCCAACGTTATTCTGACCACAGGTGGAATTGACGACATGTGTCTGAAGTACTTTGTGGAAGCTGGCGCCATGGCGGTTAGGAGAGTTTTGAAAAGGGACCTTAAGCGCATTGCTAAAGCATCAGGAGGTAGGTCTTCTGCCACATCTCCGCTGAAGTATGTCATGTTAGCGTACACGGCCATGTCGGGGTCTTTCCACGTTGGAATATTGACACTAGGCAGCGTCAGAAACATGTTTACTCCCTTATGCTTATGTTTTATTTGCTTAAGTATTACAATACAGGGACCAGCAGATGGGGTAATGGTTGTGTTGCTGGACTCCCCCGTAGTCCACCACGGTTCAGGATCTTCGACCCAGTGGCTTAAAACTCACGCCAGGCATGTGTGCTCAAAATCCCAAGAGAAGAATGGAGAAAGGATTGCAGAGTGGCCATCCCCCCAGGGGTGATTTCTTGCTTTGTCTCTGTTTCTGTTTCTCTGGTGAGCACATGCACCCTATAGCAAAAATCTCTCTTTAAAAATTTATACACACAAAATAACACTCATGCAATTGGAAAAGTTCCTTAACTGAGTTTTGTTAACTTCAAAAATAACAAAGCCTCCTTTTTTCTTTTTTTGGGGGGGAGGGAGAGATTTTTGCTATAGGGCGCATGCGCTCGCCAGAAAGAGAGACAGAAAGTGAGAAATCACCCCCAGGGGTTTTGGGTACGCACGCATGCACACCCGGCATGAGTTTAAGCCACCAGATCTGGGACTCGAACCCTAATTGACTACATGGGAGTCCAGTGACATAGCCATTATGTCATCTGCTGGTCCCCAAAGTCCCATTTTTTAAATATAGTTATTTAACTTTAATTTGAAGAGTGGGAGACAGAGTTAGGGGAGGGAGGTGTGAGAAAGCAAGTTGCCAGGTCCAGGACTCAAACCACAGTCGGCCGTGTGGGAGTCCAGCATCCTTAACCACTGTGCCACCTATTGACCCCAACTAAGCTCCATCTTTTGAATAAAAGGACAGTTGCCTATCCTCTGTTAGCCTGAAACTTGTATTCTTATACATCATATCCACAAGTGTTTCTGAATCTAAGGCAGGATATTTAAATCATGATGGATGGATAGCCTTACAGATCTTTATAACTCTTGGCAGCAACTATCCTGTCAACCCTGGCCAATCTGGAAGGTGAAGAGACCTTTGAGGCTGCGATGTTGGGACAAGCCGAGGAGGTGGTACAGGAGCGGATCTGTGACGATGAACTGATCCTGATTAAAAAGTAAGAGCTATGTTTTAAATTGTACAGCTGCATGGATTTTGTTGAGTAAAAGCCTACTTCCTTCCCATTTATTTGCTGCTATTGTCTTTCAGTGATATGAGCAGTTATACGCATGGGATAAAATAATGGTGCACCATTGTAAATTGAGATGAGCTGATTACCCATTTCATCTCTTCGTCATGGTCTACACATTGCTTTTGTACAATGTCTAAATACCCTTTTTAAGCAGGATTAAAACAAGGATGTTTGCAGTGAATACTGTTTTTAAGAATTTTCCTTTTTGTTTTTAATAGCACTAAGGCCCGTACATCTGCATCAATTATCTTACGTGGAGCAAATGATTTCATGTGCGATGAGATGGAGCGTTCTCTGCATGATGCTCTCTGTGTGGTGAAGAGAGTTTTGGAGTCAAAATCTGTGGTTCCTGGTGGAGGTGCTGTAGAAGCAGCCCTGTCCATATACCTTGAAAACTATGCAACCAGCATGGTAAGAAGAGTTACTTATTTTTAAGAAGGGAATGGAGGACAGTCTGTAGCATTTATTAATATACCTCTTCTGCAACCTTTGGTATTTTTTTTTTTATGAAAAGACATCTTACTGTCTCTCTTCTTAGGGATCTCGGGAACAGCTTGCTATTGCGGAGTTTGCAAGGTCTCTTCTTGTTATTCCCAATACACTGGCAGTTAATGCTGCCCAGGACTCCACAGATCTGGTTGCAAAGTTAAGAGCTTTTCATAATGAAGCTCAAGTTAACCCAGAACGTAAAAATCTAAAATGGTAAGCATGGAAGTTCCCTGTCTTATTGTTTCTGACTCTTGTCCGGTTTATGTACACAGACTTGGTTCCAGGACGCCCGTGAATATTAACATGGGCATATGCTTAAATCCTATACATAAAATGGAGTATTTGCATATAACCTGTGCATAGCCTTCTCTATACTTTTAGTTGTCTCTAGGCTATAATTACCTGATAGGATGCATTATTGAAGTAGTTCCATTATATTGTTCAGCGAATAATAGCAATAAACAAAGGTTAAAAGGATGGTTAATACTCAGGGCAGATGCAGCCATTACAGTTCTAACTACAGGGCCAGCCAAGTAGTGTGGTTAAGGTGGCTAGATCCCACACAGCCGACTACATGGTTCAAGTCCTGGACGCAGTGGCTCGAAAGACATGCCGTGTGTGTACGTGTGTGTACACGTGCACACGCACACATACGTGGCCAAAATCCAGAGAGGAGAATGGAGTAGGTGGGATTGTGTGTGAGGGAGTGCTTTTTCACTTTCTCTTATCTCCAGCAAATGCCTATAGCAAACCTAAGGGGGAAAAAAGTGTTGGCTACATAGCAACAACGTAACACTTCCACTGGAGGTTGTTGAAGCAGAGCGTGCAGTACTGTCCAACTAAGTTCTGTTTCTTCTATGGCAAACTAGGAAGAAAAGACTTTGGCTACATCTACACTGAGTATTAACCATCTTCCCCCCCCTCAATGATTTTTGTTATGAGGTGTGTGCACTAGCCAGAGACGCAGAAAGTGAGAAATCAAACACTCCCATGCCCCCCAGAGGATGGCTATGCTGCAGTCCCTTCTCAAGATTTTGGGAATATGCACACACACCCAGCATGAGTTTCAGCATCCAGGTCCAGGATTTGAACCACAGTTGGCCATGTGAGAGTCCAGTGACATAGCCATTGTGTCATGTGCTGGTCCCTAACCATCCTTTATCTTTTTTTATTGCTATTCCCTGAACAGTGTAGTGTAACTACTTAAAAATCACTAGGGTCATGTGCCTGCCTGCACAAAATCCAGGATGGAGGAGTAGAGAAGAGACTGCCATGTGACCACACTCCCATTAGGTAGCGTTTCCGGTAGCGTTTCCTCCCGCTCAGTCTTAACCAGTGTTTGTTAAGTCATTCATACCTAGTTCAAAGGATAGTGATGAAACGATGATTATTAGCACTGGTGTGTTTTAGTTAACAACTAATTCCTCACTTTCTGCTTCTATAGAGGCAGTGAGATGATCTTAAGGTAAATGATGGTTTTTTTACACCACCACCCAGGCATTTTCTACAACTCTCAGTGCTGTTTGTTATTCGTAACTAATTTAATCTAAGAGGTGTTTGCTATAGGGCGTGTGCGCTCCCCAGAAAGAGACAGAGAGATAGAAAGCAAGAGAAATCACCCCCTGGGGGGGGGCCAGGCCGCAGTCCTTTCTCCTCCATTTTCCTCTCAGGATCTTGGGCGCACACGCATCTGTCGTGAGTTTAAGCCACCGGGTCTGGAACTCGAACCGTGGGAGTTCAGCGACATAGCCATTATGCTAACTGCTGGTCCCTTTTTTTTTTTTTTTTTTATTTGAGGGATGGTGTTGTATTAATTAACTTTTTTTTTTTTTTTTAATTGTAGGATCGGTCTTGACTTAATCAACGGTAAGCCCCGAGACAACAAGCAAGCAGGGGTGTTTGAGCCGACCATAGTTAAAGTTAAGAGTTTGAAATTTGCAACAGAAGCTGCAATTACTATTCTTCGGATCGATGATCTTATTAAATTACACCCAGAAAGTAAAGATGAAAAACATGGAGGTTATGAAGATGCTGTCCACTCTGGAGCCCTCGATGACTGATCTCTTTTTTATTTATAACAATGTTAGATGCAATTGTCTTGCTCTCTGGTATTACACATTAAAGAACAGCAAGCTGTCTGTGAAGTAGATGGTTTTCCATTCTCACTTTGATCCTCCCATTTCCCATTTACATCATTCACATTAGTTCACTTAGTTGAAGTATGCTTTAACCGTTACGCAGTTCATCCTCTCTGAACACACATCGCTATTCCCATCCCACCCCCCACGCACAGCGCCGCAACACCGCGTGTCCCGCCTGTCCTCTCCAGCGCGTGCAACAGGGTCACGAGAATCCGGCAGCCAGATGCTCCAAGGGGGTGTCCCAAGGCTATAGCCCCTCCTTGAATGTTGACCTGAGAGGAAGAGAGGTTTTCATTTACACATTTGTGAACATGGGTTAAACTTCTAAGTTTGTCTTTTTACCTCTTAAACTATCCATTCAAACTCAATATTCATGTCAAGGATTTAGGAGTAAGTTGGTGCTTCAGTGATACCTGTTCCTGACCACCTCCCATTTCATAGTACAAAAATGATTTTCAGAACATAAGATGCCTACTTGTATCTGGGCAAATTATTACAGTAGACCAGACTTGGTCCAGTGTACTTACTGCACTGCAGTACAGGTTCAGAGCCCATGTGAACCTGAAGACATGCTAGGTGCATGCACGCCCAAAATTCTGACAAGCTTGGGGAAGGTACTACAGCCTGATGAGACCCTGGCTTCCTGTGATGCTCTGCTCCACTTGGGCGTATGCATGATTATGAATAAAAATACTTGAAAAACCTACAGTCACGGTTGTTGGCCTTGGAACACAACAAAACAAGTGAATTCCTCAGTCCCAGTGTGAACAAGTATCTGCCCATTACCAAACAGCCAATACCTGGAAATAATTACCATTTCGAAATTTAACACTATGCAGGGGGGAGGGCTGGCAGGTGGCGTGGTTAAGGCCACAACTCCCACATGGCTGGCTGCCTTTCAAGTCCCTGATCTGGTAACTTTGTCACTTTCCTTCTCTCTGTCTCTGGTCAGCTTCAAAAAAATGAAATAATGACGATGAGTAAAATTAAATATTTTTTTAAAATAAAAGATTGCATGGGGGCCAGCAGGTGGCATGGTGGTTTAGGGCCCTGGACTCACACATGGTCAGTCAGTTTTGAGTCCCACTCCCTCTTTCCTTCCTTCCCTCTCCCTCTGCCCCTCATTAAAGTTCAATAATTCTTTTAAGAAAAGACAGATTAATAGGGCCAGCAAGTGATGTGGTGCTTAAGGTGCTGGACACTCCCATATGGCCAACCATGGTTCAAGTCTCAGACCTGATGGCTTGCTTTCTCACTTTCTCTCTCTAGCTCTTTGGTCAAATTAAAATTAATTAATGAATAAAATAATTTTAAATAATAGACTGCACTGGGAATATTCAGTACTGAGCTCTCCTTAGAAACTACTTGCTCATGTTTACCTTCTCTGGGTTTAATCCAAGTTCTTTGGCTATTGCAACGGAGAGGGCTGCAAAGGCTTCATTGATTTCAAATATGTCCACGTCCTCCAGTGACCACCCTGCTTTTGCAACCTAAATGAAGGATTAATGAATAACGGTCTTAAGAATCTGGGTTTAATGTAAACTAAATACAGAAGAATATGCTGCATGATGCTGAAGGATCTCAAAAACTCCCACTGACTAGCCAGCATTACACGCTCAGCCTGAGTGACATCGAAAGATGACAGGTATGCTCTTAACACATTCCTTGGGAATGCTGAACAGCTGGGCTAGCCAGGTAGTGCAGAAGTTAAGGTGGCTGGATCCCATATGGCTGGCTGAGTCCTGGACCCAGCAGCTTGGAAAATGCTGGGTGCATATGCACATGCCCAAATTCCCAAGAGTAGAGTGGAAAAGAGATTATGGAGTGGTCATCTCTCCTGCGGGACACTGCTTTTTTCCAGTGAGTACATGTGCCCAATAGGAAAAAAAAAAAAACTCTCAACTGCCAGGCCAGCCAGTGGTGTGATGGTTAAGAGCTGGATCCCCTATGCCCAATTGTTTGGTTCGCGTTCCAGACCTGGGAGGTTAAACATGCCGAGTACATGTGTGTGTATGTCCACCCCTCATGAGGGAGGATGCTTTCATACTTTCTCCCTCCGTCTCCCTCTAGCGAGCACATGCAGCCTATGGTAAATTTTTAAAAACTCAAATTTGGACCAGTAGCATCTGTTTTGTGATAGAGTGAATCAGTTCTGCTAAAAAGCATGTATGTTGGTGGCCGCTCTTCGAGAAAGACTAGAGATCCAAGGAAAGGTAACAGGAGACAAGTTCTGTTTCAGCAAATGAAGCCTGCCAGGGAGAAGTAGGAGAAAAGCATAATCCTGGCATTTCGGAGCTGACACAAGATCAGAGCAGAGTCTAGAGGGGGGAACTAGCAGAATTAGACAACACTGGCTGACCCTTGAGCGGTTTTAGTAACAAAGGTAAGTTCACTCACAGCTTGCTTTATCGCTGGAATCGGTCCCATTCCCATAATAGAAGGCTCCACACCTGCTTGAGACCAGGAAACTATCCGTGCTAAAGGGGTGAGCCCACGATTATCGGCTTCTGACTTCTTCATAAGAACCACGGCTGCAGCACCATCGTTTATTCCTTTAAAACATGGAAGGCTGGACTTTTATAATACTCATTAACCTCAGTTACATATCTGTACCTTCTTTCCACTTGAAGACATGAAAAAAACGATTCTTACATATTGGCAAAACCCGTTTGCCATTATTCAACAGACCACAGTGTAGTTAAAAATGGTAAGTTTTGGGGGTCAGCAGGTGGCATAATGGTTAAGGCACTGGATTCTCACATGGTTGACCACAGTTCAAGTCAAGGATCCAGTAGCTTAAGAACACTGGGCATGTGTGCCCAAAATCCCAAAAGGAGACGAAAAGAGACTGGCATGGCTATCCCCCCAGGTGGTATGATTTCTTCCTCTTTCTCTCTTTTTTCCAGCTAGCATACATGCCCTATAACAAAACTTTTTTTTTTTTTTTTTTTGCAGAGATTTTTGCTATAGGGAGTATATGCTCACCAGAGAGGAAGTAAGAAATCACCCCAAGGAGTATGGCCATGCCACAGCCCCTTTTCTTCCATTCTCCTCTCTGGATTTTAGGCACACACGTGCACAAGCCTAGCATGTGTTTCAAGCTGCCAGATCTAGTACTCAAATCACAGTCACCCATGTGGGAGTCCAATGCCTTCACTATTCCACCTGCTGGACCCAAAAAATATTAAAAAAAAAAAAAAAAAAGAAAAACAAAGAAAAGGCTACGGGCCAGCTGTGGCACGGCGGTGAAGGTTGGAAGACTCCACTCCACAAGGCTGTGTGACCTGCATGCTGGCCCCAGCAGCTTGAACAAAACACTGGGCATGTGTGTGCCCAAAATCCCCAAAGGAGCAATGGAAGCAAAAGGATCCAGAAGGTTGCTTGCTTTTTCTTTTTGGAGAGGTTTTTTCTGTAGGGCACATGCACTGACCAGAGAGGCAGAGACATAGAGACAGGAACGAGAAATCACCCCCCCCCCGGGGGGTGGTTGGCTATGCCGCAATCTCTTCTCCATTCTCCTCTCGGGATTTTGGGAATGCACGCACACGCGCCCGGTGTGAGTTTAAGCCATTGGGTCCGGGACTCGAACTGCGGTCGACTATGTGGGAGTCCAGCAACACAGCCATTACACTAACTGCTGGTCCCCCCAAGGGTTGCTTTCTTATTCTCTCCCTCTCCCCCAAACCTTTCTGTTCATCCAGTGAGTGCATGTGCCCTATAGTAAAATTACAAAGGAAAAAAAAAAGGTTTTAGGACAGCCGGTGATGTGGTGGTTAAGGCACTGAGATCCCACATAGCTGACTACACAGCAGTTTGAGCCCCAGACCCGGGTCTGAAAAACACACGTGCCCAGAATTCCAAAACGAGGGCAAAATGGAAGAGAAGGGATCGCAGTGTGACCATTCCCCATGGTGGGAAGTGGGGAGTTGCTCTCTTCCTTTCATTTTCTCTCTCTCCATCAAGTATTCACACCCTCTAGCAAATTAGAAAAGAAAAGGTTAAGTCTGGCAAGATGATGTGCCTGACCATACAACATTCCAACCAGAGGAGGTAGAAAGATTATCACAGGGAGGGTGGAGAGGTTTACTAAAGAAATGGAAGAAAGTGCAAACTCGATCACTAGCTCTGCGAGATGTGGCGGACGCTAAGGGACCAGGCTTGCTAAAGTAATTTTGGTGATAGAAATATGTAGTTAGCCTCAAGCTATTGAGGTGGCCCGTTCTATCCTGTACAGTATATACATACCAATTACTGCCTTTTTTCTTAGGGTTCCCCAAAGAAAAGTGTTCTTTTAATCTTTAATTTTTTGATCTTTATTTGGAATAATAAAATAATACTTTAACAAGCATTTAAGCATTGTACTAACACGGTTTTTACTGGATTTTGGACCCTGAATTTATAGGATAGCATCATAAGAGTTGGGGTCTGGGAAAGTTGACTTTAAAATCTTACGTAAATACATGTATTAAGGCTTAGATTGATTAAGCCTCCATCTCATTACAAAGTATGTCTTTTTTTTAATTGAAATTAAATATTTTTGTCCTTTTTGGCTTTTGTTCCAAAATTCTTATTTTGTAGAAAAAAGGAAATAGAAAAAATAAGCTCAGGTCTCATAGGCAGGTACTAAGTTTCTAATACTGGAAAAGAGCAACGGTAAGTAAACTCTGGAGGGAGTTTCCACGTTATTTTTTCATCCATATATCTATATGGGACAGCAAGAAACCAATCGATTTTTATAATATCAAGTTAAATCAATGATTATAGAAAAACTACATTTTTTTCTTAAATAAGGTTTTAGAATAATTTTATGTGTAGTTAAATGAAAAAACATTTTTTAAAGACTTATTTAACTTTAATTTTTTGAAAGGTTTTTGCCATAGGGCGAGTGCACTCGCCAGAAAGGTAGAGAGAACCAGAAAGAAAGGGAGAAATCACACCCCAGGGGGGATGGCCACACCACAATCCTTTCTCCTCCTTTCTCCTCTCAAGATCTAGGGCATGCACACACATGCGCTGAGTGTGAGTTTAAGCCACCAGGTCCGGGACTCAAACCACAGTTGATTAATGGGAGTCCAGCAATATAGCCATTACACCAACTGCTGGTCCCTATTTATTTATTTATTTTAATTTGACCAGACAGGGACAGAGTGAGAGGGAGGGAAGGAGGAAAAGTGAGAAAGCAAGATGCCAGGCCCAGGATTCGAACTGCAGTCAGCTATGTGGGAGTCCAGCACCCTTAACTACCATGCCACCTGCCAGCCCCAGTTAAATGAATATTTTAAAAAGGTATTCAGTTACAGGACCAGCAGTTAGCATAATGACTATGTTGCTGAACTCTCATGTAGCCGATGGCAGTTCAAGTCAGAGACCCAGTGGCTTAACCTCACGCCGGGCGCGTGTGCGTGCGTGCCTAAGATCTCGAGAAGAAAATGGAGGAAAAGGGATTGTGGTGTGGCCATCCCCCCTGGCGGGTGATTTCTCGCTTTCTATCTCTCTGTCTCTGTCTTTCTGGTGAGCACACATGCCCTATGGCAAAAACCTCTCAAAATTTTAAAAAAGGTATTCAGTTGGTAGACCTTGCAGTAGATGGTTTTTCCCCAAGTGCCCTTCAGAAACTAACCTGAGGCATTGGCTGCAGTGACGGTTCCTGTCCCGTCTGTAAGGAAGCAAGGCTTTAGCTTGGACATGGCTTCTAGTTTGCTCCCATGGCGAGGAAACTCGTCTGTTTTAACTTCTGTAAGACCTGAAAAAAGAAAACCAATCACCCAAGATTAGTGCAGAGATGGCAGTAAGTGTGTTGGGAATGAGAGTTCTCAGACATGAAACAAAGATTTGTATTTGGGAGAAAGGTGTATTAATGTATATCCACTTTCATCCCAATAGGAGAAAAATACGAGAACTTTCATCTGTTAAAATATTTTATCAGGATTGTCCTCATAAGACACTTAAATATTTTCAAATCCATGGCTTTACCTGAGAAAAGCAGTTACAGAGTTGCTTGTGCAAAAGGTTGCTGTGTTTTGCATCCTAGCATTTGGCTAGTTTCAGTGAGTGAGTTGGGGAATTTCAAAGTCAATACTGAAGCGGCTGGCCAAAGGAAACATCAGTTACCAGTAAGGGCGTGTGACTGGAGCTCTCTGTGTTAGACAGTAGCAAGTGCTAAGGTGTGAGTGCCCTCACAAAGATACCTGGTGCAACAGTGTTGGGAAATGCAGCCTAGAGGAGGGCTTCCCTAAATAGATCAATGCCAATGCCTAGGAGTTAGGGAGTGCTCCCTGTGCAGGTCCCATGAGAGCCAGTCACACCCGAGCGCCCCTATCTTTGCACATGCCCACTGGCCTGTCTGCCTCTCAGCCACGTTGTGACATTGCACCAGAGCCTGACCAAACGCCAGCCCCATGCCTGTAACTTTCCAGCCGCCACCAGAACTGTAAACCAAATAAACCTCTTTATAAGTCACCCAGTCTCAGGTATTGTTACAGCAACACAACAGAGTACGACAGCCAGGGACCACAAAAGATCCACCCTCTAAGCACGTGAATGTGAGGTGCACACGGAAGCAACAGGAAGCAATGGAGGTCACCTCTGAGGAGGTTCAGCTTAGGGGAATAGATCGGCTCTCGCCTCCTCACAGCCAGGAGCCAGTGCTCCAGGGTCTTACGAAATGTGCTGTACACACACAGCAGCTTGGACACTGAGACCAAGGGTGACTGTGTGACGCCACCACAGCCTCCCGCGATGCTGTGCCCGTGAACACAGCACCCATGTCCACGTTCAGATGTATGCAGAAGGTTACTTTGCAACCCAAAAACCTAACTAAAATACAACTTACAAATATTCCTATATATTACTCTTTTACCTCCATTGTTATGTTTCTCTTATAAATAGGTTGTTTAAGCCATTGTGATTTACATATTCACCTTTCCTTTTTTATAAAGAATTTTTTATTTTTAAATTTATTACTTTTTTTCACATGAGTTTTGCCAGAGGAAGACAGAGAGCGAGCGAGAGAGTGAGAAAGCCAGCCGCCAGGTCTGGGACTTGAACCGTGGTCAGCCATGTGGGAGTTCCAACACTGGTCCCTACATACTCACCTTTTCTAGAAGACACAAAAACTGGTACAATTTCTTTGTCAAAATGGCCAGCTTTCTGTGCACTTTCTGTCCTGTTCTGGGACAGAACTGCAACTTTGTCCTGATCTTCTCTATTCACTTGCCATTTTTGGGCTACATTTTCAGCTGGGAAAGAACGAAGAAAACAAAGTATGTTCATCAACGGCTTTGGTGCCCGGCTGTCCACACGCAGGCGTGCACCACCAGCACAGTGTAGCAGGCACACTGGGCCATGTAGGACTGCGAGGGGAGTGCCTGCTGCCACAGCAGTGGATCTAGTGGATCTTGGAAAGCTGCTTTCTTCCTCCCTATTCTCCCATCTCCACAACCGTAAACCTTCCGAGACTGCCTGTACCGGTTCACCGTGTACATTCTGTCCCATCTGCATTACTATTCTGTGTGAATCACTTGGCCACTGGAGTTACGATGCCTTTTACCCCTAAATTTTAATTTACGTGTACATGTCCCCAAAACAAGACAATTTTCTTACATGAGCAGAGTTATCAAAATCAGGAAATGTGACCAGCCACATTGCCACAGTGTTAATGCAATGCTTCATGATGCTGAAGCCACGGGACGGTCCCTGGTGCCTGTCCTGAGACCTGTCACGTCGAGTACACATGCCCATGATTCTGGCTGGCTAAGGCTGAGGTGGACTACAGCATGAAGACCCTGTTGAGGAGCCGCTCTGTCTCTCATGGAAGAAGTAAATAAACTTTAAAAAAGGAAATTTAGGGGCCAGCAGGTAGTGTGGTGGTTAAGGCACTGGATTCTACAGTCAACTCCAAGCTTCAAGTGTCATACCCAGCAGCCTGAAAAATATACTAGGCACATGTGAATGGGTGCCCAAAACCCTGAGAAGAGAATGGAGGAAAGAGACTGGTATGGCCATCCATGGCTACCCCCGAGGGGGTGATTTCTTACTTTATCTCTGTCTATCTCTCTCTCTGTCAAGTGCACATTCCCTATGCCCCCTCCCCCACAAAAAATCTTTAAAAAAAGAGAGAAAGAAATTGAATGGTGACATGTAAATGTTTCCACCTGTGTCTGCCTTACCTGTAACGCCCATATGATAGTTGTGAAATGCATCTGTGAGACCATCACAGAGGATACTGTCAACGAGTGGCATCTCACCCATTTTCACTCCCGTTCTCAAGTGAGCCAGGTGAGGAGCCTAGAAACCAGAAATAAAAAGAGATTTTGGTGCGTCCTGTGGTCCCCCCCTCAAAGATCATGGTGAAAAGCGTGGCTCCAAGCATAAGGCTTTGGGAGCAGGGAGACCTTTAAGAAGTGAGACCTAATGGGAGGGCACCATCCAATCAGGTTGGCCCACCCTCCTCTCTGCTTGAGATGTAGCACCAGTGGCCAGCCTAATGCCAGCCCTTACTGTGGACTTACCAGCCAATGGGATGGTCAGCCAAGTACATTTCTACTCTGTGTAAATCACCCAGTCACAGGTATTTGTTTAGCAACACAGTAACAGACTAAGGTGGCTATAATCAGTTCTCTCCATAGGCTTCTGCTCAAAGCTAGTAGCTAGTCTTTCTTCAGTCTTCACCTCGTCCCCTTTGTAGCCCTCCTCCCTGGTTCCAGCTCCCACGCAGGTCAAGGCCTAAGGACCCCTAGAATTATCTATTACTCTCCCCTGCCTACTCTTGGGAACCCATTACTCCCCTACCTATGCATTTCCATTTCTCATCATACCTATTCATAGTGTGTCCTATTTCTTAAGAAATTCTATTTATTCTTTCCAAAATGACAACTATTTATTTGTTAAATGAAGAACTCTCAAAGGGCCTAAATAATGCTAACAATGTGCTACTTAACAGATACAATGCCAGGGCCGGCAGGTGGTGTGGTGGTTAGAAGCACTGGATTCCCACAGGACCGACCACGGTTTGAGTCCTAGACCTGGTGGCTTGCTTTCTAGCTTTCCCTTTCTCTATCTCACTTTCCCTATCTCTATCCAGTCAAGTTGAAAAATAATAACAACAACAAATAAATAATTTTTAATAATTTTTAAAAAGAGAGAAAGAGACATAATGCCAGGGCCAACAGATGGCATATTGGTTACATTGCTGGACTCCCACATAGTCACCTACAGTTCAAATCCCAAACGCAGTGGCTTAAAACTCAGTCTGGCCATGTGTGTACGTATGCCCAAAATCCTGAGAAGAGAATGGAGGGGACCATTATGGCATGCCCATTTCTCCTGGGGGGTGATTTCTCACTTTCTGTCTCTCTGGTAAGTGCATGAACCCTCTAGCAAAAATCTCAAAGAGACATAATGCCTACAGGAGAATAAGGCTGCTTTATGAACTGATAGGGAGGAACTTCTAACTAAGAGGTGCTCTTAACCCCCACCAACTCAATAGCAGCTACAACGGAATGGAAAGACGATTAGACTTGGAGTCAGAGAAGCAGTACTTGAACGCTGGCTCTGGGCCTCAGTTTCCTCACCTGGAGACTGGGAATACTATCACCTACCCAAATGGGCTGTGGTGATCACATGTACAGAAGCACCTGATAAAACACAGATGTTAGCAGTCCCACCAAAATCCTCCGATCGTTTTTGCTCCCTTCAGCCTGCCTCCTTCTGAGAGGCAGAAACAGTTGTGCTGAAGTGGCCCCTAACAAAGGGACTCTCGGGTCGGAGTGTGAGCTGCCTCAGTAAGCAGGAGCGGGTACAATTTTCCCTTTCCCTGCTGTGTTGGTTTGAAGGCTGGAACTTGGTAAAATTAACCCCTGCCAAACCTATTGAAAGAGGCACCACTCAGCGGCCTAGTTTTGCAAGTTGAAGTATCTCCAGGAGGGCCTGAGTCAGGTACCTGGGATTCCCTTTGTCATGTGCAGGACGGTGGATGGCAACATCTGTATTTTACTTTCCTTTACAATGACAAAGAAACTGAAAATAGAAGAAGTCAACTACGTAACATTATGGATTTAATCAGAAAATATGTATTTCATACTTTAATAACAATAATTTAGGAAAAACACATTCTGGGGGCCAGGAGCTGGCGTGTTGGTCAAGGATTCTGGACTCCCACATGGTCAACCATGGTTCAAGTCCCAGACCCAGTGGCTTGCTTTTTCACTTTCCCTTTTTCTCTGTTTCTCGCTGGTTAAATTAAAAATTAATAATAATAACAAATGGAATTAAATTAAAACACACACACACACACACATTCTGGGGGCCTGGGGGTAGCATAGTGGTTAAGATGCTGGACTTCCACATGGCTGATCACAGTTCGAGTCCCAGACCCAGAGGCTTGAGACTCACAGAGGGCACATGTACATGTGTGCCTAAAATCCCAAGAGGAGAATGGAAGAGAAGGGACTACAGTGTAGCCATTCCCCCAGAGAGTGATTTCTCACTTTCTCTCTCTGTCTTTAGTGAGTATACATGCCCTATAACAAAAAAAAATAAAAAGAAATACACGTTATGGGAGCCAGGAGGTAGGTGGAGTGGTGGTCGGGATGCGAGACTACCACATGGCTGACTGCAGTTGAAGACTCGGACCAGTCGGCTTTCTACCTCACGCCCCTACTCCTCTGGTGAGCACACGTACCCTGTAGCAAATTTAAAAATGAAAGTAATACTGGGGGTCAGCAGGTGGCATGGTGGTTGTGGTGGTGTTGGATTCCCATCTCAGACCTGACAACTTGCTTTCTCACTTTCTTTCTCTCTCTCTTTCTCTCTCTGATCAAATTAAAAATTAATGAATAAATAAATACAATTAAATCTTTTTAAAAATAGTAATAATGGTATGTAAAAAAATAATTCTTAAAAAAAGAAAACACATATACACATTGCTCCAATTCAACTGATTAACAGGCTTTTCTTCAACCTGGATTTCTCAACCAATTTGAAGAATCATTAACATTCAAGCAGACTTCAAGGTTGAATCCACTTTTCGTTTATTAGTTTATTGTTTGGTCCCAGCTCTGATAAGCACCGATTTTTCTGTAAGGCCACAGACATGAGTTTATCAAAGAGAAGGTTGGAACTTAGCAAAGTTAATCCTCAGCAAACCTACTGAAAGCAGCGCCACTTTCAGTCACAGCCAACTCCTCAGAGGTCTTACCTTGCTCATACTTTCCATGCCTCCTGCAACCACAATGCTGGAGTCTCCTAGCACTACTGACTGGGCAGCAAGACACACGGCTTTCAGGCCTGACCCACAGATCATCTGACAGCTCCATGCTGGAACAGAATAAGGAATTCCTGCACCTACACTGGCTTGTCGAACAGGATTCTGCCCACAACCTAGAGGGAAACAAAATATTGGATGAAAGTGCATGTAAAATGGCCAACTGGATCAGCTGTCATTTCTGAAAGACTGGCTGGCTGAGTTTCCGCCAGAGACAAGAAGGCCTGCACGCGCTCTCCCATGATCACAGTCTAGCCCTTAAACACATACAATGGGTCTTCGAAAAGCTCATAGAAAGTGTATATTATGATAAAACTGTATGGGGACCAGCAGTTGGCGTAATGGCTATGTTGCTGGACTCCCATGTAGTTAACCATGGTTCAAGTCCCAGACCCGGGAGCTTAAACTCACACAGGGAGCGTGTGCATGCATGCCCAAGATCCCGAGAGGAGAATGGAGGAGAAGGGATTGCGGCACGGCCATCCACCCTGTGGAGTGATTTCTCACTTTCTGTCTCTCTGTCTCTCTCTGTTTTTCTGGTGAGCACACATGCCCTATAGCAAAAACCTCTCAAAAAAAAAAAAAAAAACGGTATGGATTTCAAGTGTTTGTAGTTTGTATCAAAATAAACTCATATTTTGATTCCATTTTCCATGTATTGCCTTGTACTGTTCTCTAAGTATTTCAGTAATAAAAAGAAAATTGGTGGGACCAGCAGTTAGCGTAATCGCTATGTCGCTGGACTCCCGTGTAGTCGACCACGGTTCGAGTCCCAGAGCCGGTGGCTTGAACTCACACCAGGCGCATGTGCGTGCGTGCCCAAGATCCCAAGAGGAGAATGGAAGAGAACGGATTGCAACGTGGCCATCCCCCGGGGGGTGATTTCTCACTCTGTCTGTCTCTCTCTCTCTTTTTCTGACGAGCGCACAAAACCTCTCAAAAAAAAAAAAAAAAGAAAGAAAGAAAATTTGTCCTCCACAAAGAAAGACTCAGCAGTGCCGCCAGTAGTGTACTAACTCCATGCTAGAACTGCAGGCTCAGATCTCCTGCCCGGTCAACCTGAAACTCACTGGGGGTGTGTGTGCATGTGTTCAAGCTCCTGAGCTATGGAGGACTATGGGTAGGAGACCACTGCAAGACCAGACTCTATTGGGGTGCTCTTCTCTTTCAGATGCATGCCCACAAGTGCACATGAATGCACACACACATACTCTACCACATATTAAACAAACTACTCCTGTTTTGCAAGATTCTTTCCTCCTCCAAAGCATAGGCCAACCAGAGATGCAGGGAGGTGGAAAAAGGCACGACGCACTGAGGTCGTGTTGTTTACTGGCTGAGTTTAGTGGGAGCTCACAGAGTTCTTAGTAGACTCTCAAGGCCCATAGCAGCACTTGCAAGTGTTTCCTCCCTCTTGGAGCTGTAAGAGCGACACACATGGAGAACACTCACAGAGCAACTTTCTCCCTCTCAGAGCTCACAGTGTGTCTGGGGATGAGCTGAATTGAGCTGAGCTGAGCCAAGGCCATCAGGGCTCAGCAGGCTGAACTAAGGCCAAGTTGAGCAATTCTAGCGAGCAGGGCAGAGTTGCACAGGGCTAGATGATGAGACGCTTCTTTCTCTTAAAGGGGCTGCAGAGAGTAGTGGCTCATTGCCAAAATGAGATGTTGTACATGCACGTGAGTGTCACATTCAATGGCATAAACAGCAAAGTCATCATCACACAAGTGCACAAGCACAACACAAGTAATAACGTAAGTTGTTTACACTGTGGTCTTCAAACATAAGATAGGGGGTGAGGGAGCCAGACTAAACCATCCTGACACCATTTGCAATACACCCCCAAATCCTTAAAATAAAATGATCATCCTCATGTTATGACAGAACTTGAATTAAGCACACACTCCACATAAACACAGGGCATAACTTGGGCATTATACACATTTCTTTTTTTTTTTTTTTTTTTTTTTTTGAGAGGGTTTTGCTATAGGGCGCGTGCGCCCCCCAGA